TGTACCTAATAAAGTGGCCGGTGAGTGTATATTATATTGATATTATATATTTATTAATAGAAGACTTAGAATCACCTCTCAAACTTTTGCTTGTAGAACTGGAACGAGCTTGATGAGAGCTTAAAAAGGGTTGAATTTCATCTCCACCTTTAAAAAACAGTTAAAGACCAAATTGTTTTGTTTATATATGAGATCACTTGTAGGACTTGTAATGGATTGATCATAAATATTATAATCTGTGTTGTATATGGTGTGTAATGATATGTATGACGAATGTATTGTGTAGCAAGTATTTTAAATTTACAAGATTGTATGTACTCAGGCTCCTTTTACAAGCTTTCAGTAGCTTTTCGGAGACCCAATTCACACACTGGTATATTGTAGCGATGTAGTATGTGAATCTGACATTTGGATTTTTTATTCTTGATTACTGTGTGTGAATAAAACCAAACTGAAACTGAAATTTCCCAGCTCAAAAGAAACAAAACTTTGCTAGCTCACATGGAAAATCTCAAAATTATAAGACATTTTACCTCAAAATCAGTTTTTTTGTTGCTACTGTTCAAAACAATGCTTCAATTTTTTGTTTTATGATTATATTTTAGACAGTTTATTCAAATGATACATTGATAAGGCATTTATTCCTCAACTTTTGCAAACGTTTTAATCAAAACACTATATTTGCCTATTTCTCCTTACACCACTTTTAGACTTAATCCTCGTTTTGATGTGATGGGTCACAAATAAAGTCAGATGTTTAATTTCAGGGACCAGGAATCAGTGTACGTCTGAGGAACAGATTTTCTTTTTTTTCTTTTTCCTTTCGTCTTTAACTCAGGTGAGTGTGTTTACCTGCCTCGTCCCAGACAACAGTCAGCTCCACCTGGCTCTAACAGTGGACCCCTTCGACCCTTACTCCACATTTGAGAGGTGAGTTTTTATTGTGGCTGATTATATTCCAGTCAGACAACAAGCCGGACAGATTTACTTTGGGGTTGTCTCTGTAACCACAGACAGGTGAACGTCTCCCTGCCTGACGAGACTCGGGCTAACGGCACTTTGTATGCAGTCGTTTATGTTCACAAAGCTGGAGTCTCACCCCTGGAGGACAGAAGAGAAGTCCACTACGCTGCTCATCTCACCACGTACATCACTCCTCCTCCTGCAGAAGGCCTGGAGAAGGTGACACCAGTGTTTGTAAAAGATTTTATCCTCATGTCGACATTTCTGTGCAGCAGAATGTGCTTTATTATTGTTTTTTTTTAATCTTTCTGTGGCCTCGACAGAAA